CCATTTGCGACTTTAATCAAAGATAAATAATTAAAAACCAGTTAGTTAGTCAAAGCTAAATTCAGACAATCAGTAATCAGTTTTAAATTCATTATACTTTAAACGATAAAAAAACAAAGGAAAATATAAATGAGTAAAGGAAAAAGATAATTTATTAATATAAAACAGTTTTATATTAATAAATTGCTCGTTTGCTTGTTTTCTTCCTTTGTTTTTTCTATCGAATTTAAATATATTTACCTCGGTGTTCAATAAACCGGTTTCTGTCGCTGGGTCAGGACTACTATCCGAGGAGGAGTCTTCTCCGCGTCTTTGTAGATCCAGTACCTCTTCCGCTATTTGCCGGCCGATCTTACTTACTTCCACGTGGCTCGAGATCAGTCTTTCTAATCCACCGTTACCTGCTTACGACAAATTAAGCACGAACCTTCAATTAATCAATTCGACAAATCACGATTGTCGTATAAACGCGCGCTTCAAATCGCACTTACTTTGTGTGAAATAATCATAGTTGTCTTGCACGCTCGAGTCCTCAGATCTGTTATTTCCACCTGGACGTGTATCGCAGCTGAAAAAAAATACAGAACTCTTTATACGATAATATCGCAAACGACGCGTAGAATGTCGATCGTTGCTTACAAAATAGCGGAATTCTTAGCGATTAGATACTCGATGTCTTTAGTCCATGGATTCCTGAAGGACTTCCACTCAGATTGCAACCGCACGAAGTTTGCGTCCTTGCTCCTGAACCTGTAGATCTGTGAAAACCATATGAGATCAAAACGCGAAATCGTTATCGCAAGCAATAAAGATCTCTCTTTACGTTAATCGTCAATCAAGTCGCTTTGCGTTCTCGACGAGGGACTTTGCATATCGTACGAGTATTAATAATTCTAAGAGATTTTACAATTTTTTTAAAATCCGATTATCATAACGAAGAACAATTGCGAAGTGATAACGTTGAACAGTTAATTACCTGTGTGGTAACGCGTTCGGAAGTTTGCAACACAGCTTTGTGAGATTCTGCCAGGTGAGGAATGTCATCGTGGTGATAATATTCGTACATACTGGTGCCCAGCAGTTCCTGAGGTAGAAAGCCCAATACTGGAGTAGCTCTATATGAGGAAAAAGATAATTCTCTAATATATACAAGACGTCCATATCATTTATCGATATTCCAAAATTTATGTGTGTCTTTTTTTATAATGCATATTTTTTAATTATAGATAAGGCTGAATAATAAACAATTAATAAATTGATCGCTTTTAATTATAGTTTTAGCAGCTTTTTTAGAAATTATATAATATAAGCAGAAATAAATATAACAATATATGCGAATAAATAAAAATTTATGAAACATGTTTGTTATTGTATATTTTAAAGAAGAGAGCCAAGAATAGCACAAATTTCCTCTTTTCAATTTATTATATTTAAATTACATATAATGTATTTCCATTATAATATATTGTATATCGCAATTACTACAAATATTTCGCTAACGTCTTCTATCTACCGTTTGCTAATCGTTTTTAACGATCCAATAACAATCTTGATATACCTTTGGTCCACGAACAGAAATTTGCCATCCATTGCGTGTCGCGAGACGAATTGTATGGGTCTCGAATGGGGTTTTCTCGACGGCAACACGGCCGTCGATATCGCCGTTTGGATTCGGCCGACCGCTACCAAGCAGGACAAATTACACGCTTCGCCGTCGGCATCGCCCTCCTGTTCCTCGAGACCAATCTTTGCGGGAGCCCAGGATTTCAGATAGCCCGTGCACTGAATCACGCAATACTTCCAATCTAAAAAAGACGCGTCTCTGTGCAGACTCGCCGATTGAGATTGAATTCACAAACTTTATAAATAATACAAATTACACTACCGTTTATACAAATTCAGGAACACTTGCAATTTTCTCATCACGAAAAGTTAAGAAAAAGTTCTAAAATTAAAAAAAAATAAATTTACAGCTATATATCTTCTTTTTAAAATATATTTTTGAAAATTTCTCTACAATTTTTTTTCACTGAAATACTTATATAATTTTTTTTGAAATGCAAGAAATCTCGAATTTATAAATCGTAGTGTATATAATTAATTTTACATTACATTTTATATTATTATATTTTACACGTATAGAAAGTGAAGAGACGATAAGACGAATGAGACGAAATTGTAGAGAACGAGTAAGGGGAAAGTATCGGGACTTTACGATTGCCGGTGAGATATTTGATGAGGATATATCGGCGATCCTTTCACCGGCGTTTTGCTGCGATATTGTATACGGTTTCTATTTTTCACCTTTGACGAGCCATGCGACAAATTTTCGTGCCGTGTCTCCGATCGTGCGTGTGACTCTCCAAAAGACGCGTTTGCATCCCCGATATAAACACCCTGAATCGTCACGGTCATATTTTTTCGCACTGCAAGGAGCTTTGCTTCTTGAAAGAAAATTGAATCCGTCATTGGACAAAGGACACGACTTAGAATTATTTTTTTTTTTTTAGAAAAAAGTATTGTGTTCATTTAAAAAAATATGTGATGATCACGATATTCGGACAATACATTTATGTTATCATTTTTTTGTACAAAAAAAAATAAAATATACAAAAAAAAAACGATTTTATTGAAAGATTTAAAATTTTGTTGGATACAGATATGAAAAATAATTTTATTGAATTATAAAATAATTATTAAGAGAAATAATTCTATTTTCGGTCAAAGCAGATCTTATAAAATTAATTCTTACTAATACTAACATACAAATTTTGGTAAATATATTTTCTCAGTTTTATAAACTGTGCAAAATAATTTGCAAAATAATTATATTGCAAATTAAAAAACGATAAGCAATACAAAAAAATTTTAATATTCTTGCAACCAGTTTGAATTTCCACAAAATTATTTTGATGTACAACAAATTTCCTTTTAGATCTGTATTCAATAGAATTTTAGATCTTTTAGTAAAATCATTTTTTCTGTATATTCATTAATCAACAATAAAAGTTCTTCCTCTAGTTAAGAAAAAACACTTGTGATGCCTCAATAGATTTATTTAAACGTGCTCTTTTCACGTATGATGATCGATTCGAGTTATCGATTTTTCCGCATTGCCGAATGAATTATGATTTTTGGGTAATTAGCCGCACTCACCTACGTTTTGTTGCTTCTTTCTCCTATGGCAGCCAGCGGTGGCGTTGGCTTCCTCCTTCACTTGCATCTCACCGCAACGGACCCCGTCGACTTTACGTTTCATCCGACAGAAGAAAGATCTACGCGCTCCGGGGCAAAGTCGTGACACACCTTGGGGCACGTCGGTTTTCACCGGTAGCATGGCTGAAAAATTACGAAATTAGCAACAGTCCATCAACGGATGATTAATAATTCTATTCATACCGGAAAGAATGGTTTTATTAAAGTATCTGAAAATTTAGCTAGATACAGATCTGAAAATAATTTTCTTAGACCATCAAAAATATAGAACGCTTAAAAGTTGATGATAACGCAGTGTTCAAAAGTTTTACCTTTTAAACACAAAAGGTGTAATGAGCTTTAAGTTTTAAGACAATGATCAATCACAGTCGAATGTGAAAAGAATAATCAATTATGATTGATCAATTCCTTAAGGCTTAAGGTTTACTACTTCTATTGTGTTTGCAGGATTAACATTTTAGCAACCAGTTTGAACGTTCTTCATATATAATTATTTTGACAGTTCAAACAAAATTATTTTCAAATATATATCTACTAAACTTTTAGATAATTTAACAAAACTATTCTTTTCGTCTATATCCTTGCATTCTATCTCCTTTTTTCTTCCCTTTTTTATTTCTACTTAATATTTCTCTCTTTTATATCTTTATTTCCCACATCTCTCTCACATCTCTATCGCAAAAAACATTCATTATATAGTATTAATGTCGCATTTACTAGCGTCTTAAACATATACTTTGACGATCCAAACGCTTTACATGCAGATCGCGTCGCGATGCAACATTCGAGGAATCCTGGCATTAGACTCGTTCGGCAACTCTTCGTCTCCTTTCCTCATTCGGCGTGGATCTTTCGCAATATTCTTATCTGGTAGGCACGCTAATTCTAAGATGTTTATCGACAAAGCTTACGCGAGCAAATGCTGCCGAGCGACTGACATTTATCGGGTAAAGGTGGTGGAAGAGATGCGCACGGCAACAAATTTGCGTTCGCAATGATCGACGCGTCGAACATGAGGCAACGTCGAAAGGTGCTATAATTAATAGCTTTGAAGGCGGAAAGCCTTTTCTCATGACCGGAGAAATTAATGCCCCGCACGCGGCTGGGTCGGCGCGCGCCAAGTCGAAATCTAGAGTGCGTTCCGTTTCAATAAATATAAATAATATAATGCGCATGATGTATCATTTTATCTTTATTGTTCATATTAAAAAAGAATAAAATGATACATCATACGTGAAACCAAACGCACTAGAAATGCAGCAGTAATGTGAAAAAGCAATATTTGCGTTTAATAACGGTCGTAATACAGCTGATACTCACTTTTTGCGTCGATCAGTCGTTCCCTCGGACTGAGATCGGAGGATGAGAGTTGCTCCTTTACCTTCGCAACATCCTTAGGATGTAGGATATCGAACCAGCTTTGACCCAACAAGTCACCCTGTGATGGCATTAAGATCCTTAAAGTTTGTAATTCAGTAAAAATTCAAAACGATACAAGTCGACTATAATTATAATGTGTATAGATAGTAATCGTATATTATATGGGGTATTAGCGGATTTATAAAATTGGGATATCCTAAACACTGAGAATGTAATGAAGAATTAGTAACATTAAAACTTTAGCTTTATGTTGTTTAATATCTATTTTTAATTCGTAATATATATATCGACTTCTGAAGGGAGTGCTCTTCTTTGAAACAATTAAATGTCAACGTTTTAAATGCTTGCACAGTTTCTATGGCCGTTGTATTATTTCGAAACAGAATCTAATAGCAAATTCGGTTAGATACATTAATGCATACTGATATATATCAAAGTATCGTAAAAATCGATAAAAACGTCTATTTAATATAAATATTGTATATAAATTAAAAATAAGTGTTCAGAAAGGCTATGAACCAAAAAACAACAAAGTAAATGTGTAAATATAGGAAACAAATATAATTATCATGATCTAAAGCAAATAACAAATAACAGACGTCGTTTCGAGTTCGATCGAGTCATCCTCAATGTTACATATAAACATAATTAAATAGAACAGATAAACTAAATTAATGTACTTAAATTAAACGGGCCAACTAATAATAAAATAATATAAAAAAACAAATAGCTATCTAAACTCGCATCCTGTCATCATGAATGTAATATTATGTCGACAACAATATAGCGTATATGTTAGATGTCAAAATAATAAAAGTCCACATGGCGCAAATTATTCACAAGCATCGTAAATTCAAAAATTCTCGTTAAAATCTATAAAAATAGTGAGAATAAACATTACATCAACACTATATCTAAAGCAATGAAAACGCCAGAGAATATAATGTATAAATTATATAATAATAACAACTTTATTAAAGTTCAATTTAAATAAAAAGAAGATATAAATAAATATATAACGTATAACAGCTTTAATATGCACCAGTAATGCATCAAATCGAATTCGCTATATAAGAAAAGTCTTCAAAATATTGCTTACCTCATTAATGACTATCTTACATGAGCTTGTTGTTCATAACAATTATATTAATAAGCATCAGTGCATCTAGTTGAATTTGTTAAATTATTATATCTAAATCGTGGCAGAAATGTTAAAATGATGAAAAATTGATAAATTCACAAATTATAAATAATCTTGACATGATAGTAATAGCGATGATAATGATCACTGCCAATCAAACATAGACTGCATAAATACCCATTTCAAGATATAATTTATAGCCAATGAGATGAATACGCAGCAGACGTTACTCAGACAGAGGCTAATGGTAGCACGAACATTACGATTAATTAGTCATTGAACGGAGATTCTTATGCGTGATGCTGTACATACGCTTTCGCGATATTCCTCGTACTGATAGATCTCGTGTATAATAGAAATGGAGATGGAATTTGGAGAGTAATTCGATATAGTGACATAATTCGATACCTGAGAATAATTAAGAGTCTGCGAGACGGACTCGGACACGTAGAGAATTCTCCCGCGATCGCAGCCAACCACAAAGACGAAGCCCTCTGCAGCCTGGAACAAGGCAAGCTGCTTTCCATTACGCTGTGGAGAACAAACCGTTAATTACAGCCGAAGAGGTCATACTTCTTTGAATCTTGATTTTTGAAGAATAAAGGGATAAGGAAGGAAGGAAAAAAAATGGGGAATAGGATAGGATAGAGACTCTATAACAGGATCTAATCAACTAACAATTTTTATAAAACAAGAGTGAGAAAGAAAAATATATAGGTATACTGTCTCTTTTTATATACGTTATTCTCATTCTAACTTATTGTTAGTAAAGTTAGTAAAGTTAGTCAAGTTAACCTGTTGTGTGTGTGTGTGTGTGTGTGTGTGTGTGTGTGTGTGTGTGTGTGTGTGTGTGTGTG